GTTATAGAGGCGGGTACAACTCTCCGCACAATCTCCCGCCAACTCTCTCTATTAGCAGACTGTCTGGTGCAGTCACATACACCGTCTCCCATTCCCAAGGATTCTAGATAGGTATAGAGCTTTTTTGTCATATCATCATGCGATCAGTCATTAAAAACTATAAGGAGATGAGGTGAGTGCTTTTTCTCGTTTAGTGCACTGCTCAGTGAAGACAGGCCTTTCCCTTTCGTTATTTCAGGTTTGTTTTCAGACTCTTAATTGCGTGTTTTTAATTGCAAAAATAAAATTAATTTTATGAGTTTTTACCTACGATTGAGCTTGAAGGTGTTTTTAATGCTATAATGAGACTATAACATGACGTGTTCGCTTCCCAAAAATATTATTCCCACCTGTCACATCACATGTCTTCACAGAACAAATTGCGCATAACACCTCAGGCCATCAAGCACGATGCCGGCTTATCACAACAAAATAACTTTGTGAAAACAAAAGGGGTGATATTTTATAACAACTGCCGTCGATTCGTCAAGTCGAATACATGGGAAGCTTGCCATGAGGTTAGGGTGAGCGTCCAGATTGAACGATGCTATGAAAAGCGATGGGAGTAAAAAATTGATTTTTTTTATAAACCCTAAGTTACGGAGACATTCAGTCCAAATACGTTGAAAGTTCAAGTGTCGCTGTGAGGAAGCGTTATCTTACCAATGCTAGGCAGTAGGTAGATATTAATACCTTTAGACTGGGTTGCACCATCTTACTTTAACTTTAACAAACGTCAAAAATCTGTCAAACTCCATATAAAAAGCACCAGCTATTGTTTCGGTTAAAATAAGGTGGTGCAACTCAGCCTTAACTTAGTAAGCTTCAGAAAAAAAATATTACATACTCGTGGCTCATAGCTCAGTGGTTACAAGCTTTTTCAGTTTTCAAAATCAAAACAGTTTATTCGCCTAGCATAGCACGGCCAATGGATAGTGGCTCTAAAACGCAAACATCATTGTCCCGCGAGCAAAGAGTTTGCTCGTAAACAAGCAATAAACGTGTATTTCATCGCGGGGCGCAGACCAGTGAATTTGCGTGTAAAAATGAGAGACAAGTGCACAAAGCTAGAATATACACGGTTCCGTACGTATAACGACGCACCATGCTAAACGCGGGGGTATTCCTTACGTTGTTAAATGTTATTCAGCAACAAAAAATTTAGGTAGGTAGTGGCTGTCGATTGTACATCATACCCATGCATTACGATGGATTTCTAACATATTTTTAGCAAATTAAGTAAGCAGTTTCTTTGCTAGTTTCTAGAAAAAACCGATGCAATGGTTCTTCCATTCCCGCGAATAGAGACACAATAGATATTCGTATCAATAAATTGTTACGTGGCCTTACGCGACCGCTTGGGTTTTAATGATGGGCTATTCAGTAGGTATTTTTAATGGCAGCTGCTCGAAGACTTTATGAAACAATTTTGCAAAGTGTAATATTATTTTATTAAACTCCATAACTATCGTCTAACTAAAATATGGCTAGTATTTTTAATAACAGTACACAGTGTAGGTCTAAATGCTATCAAAAAGGAATTTTAATAAAATTGCGTAGGGTAGAATAAACGTGACACAGAGCAATCCAAAGGTTCATTTACCCGACCGCACGGAATCCTAAAAATAGTAAAATCGTGCTCTGACAAAATGTTCCTTTTAATTGTGGGCCGCTTTGTTTGTGGCGCCCAACAACTTTATGCGTCACAAATCTTTTTAAGTGTGCTCGTAGTTTTGAAAATATTGTTCTACCTTTGGATATTTACGCAGAGTCGTAGAGTGTACCTGTTTTGTGAGTAAGTAACTTACCTATTTTTGGTTTGATAAAATGTTGTAGATAAATTACAACATTAAATTACTAGATTTTAAGTTTAAACTACATAATATTTTTGTTTCCAAAAGTTAAATAGAAAACTATTGTATTGTCTCCAATAAATAAACGCATAATAGTACTGAAAAAAAAACGGCAAAATTGTGATCGAAACAGAAGCTCTCGTAAATTTTCAAAAGATAAAACAGTATTATCATGATGTAATAAAAAAAATCTTTACGATCACCCGCCGCCATAAGTGCGACGAAGCAATTTTTATTAAACCATGAACAGTGAAAGAGTTGTAAAAACGTCATAGAAAGTGGTCAATAACAAACACACTCGATATACCTGTAAATTTTAGATAATTATGAGAACATTCGTTAATTTTGGAATGAAGGCAGTCAAGTCTATTGAATAAAGATTCGGTATTAAATAACAAACTAGCTTTTCATTTCTGACCCGTAATAATGTTTCCTAAACTAGGTCTATCAATGTTTAATTTGCTCCCCCAAATTCTGTGTAAATAAAACTCAACAGATCAGGGGCATTAATCAAACATCCCTAACTAAAGTGGCTTACGCCACTAAATCTACCGAAACGATTCCAACTTCGGAATAGGTAACAAAGGAAAGCGAAACTACACCGCATCCCTTCCACCTCGGATCTACGAGTAAAACATTTATCTAGCGAGTCCGGAAGGCAAACATCCTGTACGCACGCCCTCGTGGCGAGCGACTCCAGAATAGGACCCTCAACGTTTTTATGTTTCCTCCGGTAGTTGTATTTCGCTCAAATGTAAGGGTTCGCTCATATTTTTATTACGCGTGACGTAAAATCAAGATCGAAAGTTGCAAATGTTTTAAGTAGTGACCTAGTTTTAAGGTCCCGTAGCGATGCTTTGTAAAGATAGGGATGATTTCTGGAGGGTGTAAATGTGAGAATCGCATATTTGACGCGGGTGAGCTCCAAAGGTTAACCGTTTGAAGTTTATTAACTCTATAGGGTGAGGGTCTAAATGCCTAATGGATTGTCACATTAGGATATTGATCGGTGAAGTCTACGACCAAAATTACAAGAACGTAATTTGAAAACTTCGTAGGCCATAGAAAAGTTCCAGAAATTAAATAAAGAGTTAAGTAAATGTAATAATATTATCAGATCTTGTGTTTTGTGACAAAAAACCTCAATGTATTTTATTGCAAAGAAAATATTAACAACCAACCCTCTTCGTTTTTTTTGCAAAAAGTTTTGTTTTTTTTGTGATTTTACAATGTCTTGTTTAATTATAGTAAAATTGCAAGAGACATTTTAACGTTATTATTTAGTACATCCTTTCCAGGGGCGCAATTTCCCTGAGGAATAATTAAAAAGCGAATAATATTTTTCTTGCGTTAAAATGATTACTTACTAACTTTTTTCGCAGAAAAATGTAATAACGCGTATACTATAGAAATGTTTTTCTAAGGCTTTTCCTTATTGGTTTTTAACATTATGTCATTTTTATTTTATTTTGGCCATTTATACTCTTTTAATTGAAACTGTAAGCGATATTACTTTTATCATACTTATTTATTTTTTATCCCCCGTGACCCATGTTATTTTATTTATTTGTTTAATTAAGATGGATTTTAGATTACTTACTCATCCTTTTCTAGAGATCAAGAGAAAAGCCATCTATTAAACAAATAAGTTTAGTATTATATTTGTTTAACAGTTAAGGCGTTGATTGGGCAGTGCAGTTCTGAATATGTGCAGTTATGAATATGAAATTTTATTCCATAAAAAAACATTTACAACTTTCTCTTGCTTGAACATTATGTATGTTCGTAAACATATACATTTATGTAGGGCTGGGGTTCTCAAGAGAAACTTCAGCTTTCAGTTTCGTGAAAATACACCGTTTATTTCTAATAACTTTAGCGGAGCACACCTGCACGTCATGGCAGTTGGGACGAGAGAGAGCTCAGAGAGCGAGCCTCGCACCTTTCATTCAATCCTATCATTCGGTTTATTTTAACGTTTCACTATTTGAACGTTTCAACGAAATTAAAAAATAAAAGTTAAAGTTTGTTTTCTTTTACATTCCTACAACTCGGTCATCCTGCAACTCAATCTGACCTCAGATTGACTACGAATTAGAAAGTGACTCTACATTTCAAAATAACTCTACATTTAGACATGACTCTACATTTCAAAACGACTCTACATTTCAAATTGACTCTACAATCTACATGACTCTACATTTTACATTGACTCTACAATCTACATGACTCTATATTATACATTGCAAAAGGAAAAACTGCATATTTCATCGCACTGCCGCCTTCGAATGAAGTTGAAACCCAGTCACCTGCTTTCAACGGGCCCCAGTATGTTCGCGCTGCTACATCAGCGCCACAACCGGCGACGCTAGCGCCCCCTATTGTAATCAAGCATGCTCCATAGAAAGAGGTCTATGGAGCCGAGAGAATTTTTGTCTATGCGACGACCGCCAACGAAAGCGTCGCTTCCATTTTTTACCGCCAACAAGAAAGGCTTTATTTTCTGTAATGTACCTATAATATTGTTTAAACCTAAGTAAACTCCAATGTTCACCGAAGAATGGCTTCTTATTGAAAAGGCCCCTATTTTCAAGAATCTACAAACTATAATCCTAAGCTCCAACATGGTTATTTGTTAAATTTTAATTTCAGTATTACACATGTAATAATCTAGTTTTAACTCAAGTAAGCTTAAACGTTTTATCAATTCATGTTACTATTGTTAGCTTCAAGTTTAGGTACATTTTTTATTCAATGATTTAACTAAATATACACAAAAGTATACAATATTAAATTTTTTGAAGTCTTTAAAGGATATGTTACATTCGACTTTTGAAGTCTTTAAAAGTTAAGTTTCATTCAACTTTTTGAAGTTTATAAAAGGTAAGTTACATTCAACTTTTTTAAAGTTTATAAGTTTAAGTTACATTTAACTTTTTAAAAGTTTATAAGGTAAGTTTATGAAATTGATATGACACAGAAAATTACATCTTAGGATTGTGTAAACACAATAAAATTAAAGTTATGTTATAGAAGAAATATTAGTACAACAAATAGCATACAGGTTGACATCGTGGAAGTGGCACTCATTGTTAAGAATTTTGAAAAATGCAATTTACTACACCAGGAGGGGTGTCTAAAATAATTATTTCAAAGTGAATAAACTAAAAACAAAATAGTCAGACACAGGTAAAGCGAAGTCAAGGCCACCTCTTCATGTAGTCCACACCAGTTGTAGTTTTTATGGGCCCTTCCTTACCTCTGTCTATTTTTTCCACCTCGTAGCGGTCTTTTCCAAGTAGTNTATGGTTACTTATTCTAGACTTAAGTAAATTTCAGTATTACACAGGTAGTAATCTAGTTCTAACTCAAGTAATTATTATCAAGTAAGCTTAAACGTTTTATCAATTCATGTTACTATTGTTAGCTTCAAGTTTAGGTACATTTTTTATTCAATGATTTAACTAAATATACACAAAAGTATACAATATTAAATTTTTTGAAGTCTTTAAAGGATATGTTACATTCGACTTTTGAAGTCTTTAAAAGTTAAGTTTCATTCAACTTTTTGAAGTTTATAAAAGGTAAGTTACATTCAACTTTTTTAAAGTTTATAAGGTAAGTTTATGAAATTGATATGACACAGAAAATTACATCTTAGGATTGTGTAAACACAATAAAATTAAAGTTATGTTATAGAAGAAATATTAGTACAACAAATAGCATACAGGTTGACATCGTGGAAGTGGCACTCATTGTTAAGAATTTTGAAAAATGCAATTTACTACACCAGGAGGGGTGTCTAAAATAATTATTTCAAAGTGAATAAACTAAAAACAAAATAGTCAGACACAGGTAAAGCGAAGTCAAGGCCACCTCTTCATGTAGTCCACACCAGTTGTAGTTTTTATGGGCCCTTCCTTACCTCTGTCTATTTTTTCCACCTCGTAGCGGTCTTTTCCAAGTAGTTTTACCACTTTATAAGGTCCAAAAAATTTCTGTCTTAGCTTCAAAGCATTTCCAAACTGTGTTCTTTGTATTGCCACTATATCACCTTCGCTATATTTCTGCCCTTCTTTTCTCTTTTTATTGAATGTCTTTCTGTTTTCTTCTTGAATTTTCAGAATCTGTACCTTTGCCTCTTTTCGTAAACTGTCTCTTTTCTCTATAAACTCCTTCCGATGCTCTTCCTCTAGATATTCTAATATTTTCAGATCTTCTTTTAATCTCAACTGAGTTCCAGTAAGTAGTTCGAATGGTGAAGTGTTGATAGATCGCTGGTAAGTACTATTAATTACTCTCTGTAATTGGCTGACATATTTGTACCAGTGTGTGGGTTCTTCTATACACATTTTAGCTAAAGTTGAAATTATAATCTGGTTCATTCTTTCGACTTGACCGTTGCCACGTGGAATTCCTGTCGTGATTGTAATATGTGAGATCTCTTCTTCCTGACANCTAACATTTTGGTAATAAATTTTTAAATTGAATTTAAATATGATAACTCAAAAAATCATGCAAGTAGGTGTATTTATTGTTATTACAATTTATTACAATTATTTTAATGTTTTTAAAAATTCAATATTCTGCACTAGTACAGAAGCATGGTTACTGTCTTTACGAATAAAAATGCGTCCGCCTCGAATCCACACAAACTCATATTGCTTTTCTTTAGCGAATGCCCTAGCAGCGGCATGTAGTTGCTTATTTGAGGGTGACAAATGTTCCGTTACATATATAGGTCGCTTCTCGGAGGCGATTCCTAGGAGGCTGGTATTCAGCATGTTATTCTTGTTTTGTCTGTTGAAAACCTTAACTGCAGCCAACACCTGATCACGCGCACGAGTGCTCGAGAGTTTAACAATAATGTTTCTAGGGCGTTCCGACTCGGAATTTATCTTGGCAACACGGTGGTAGGACACGATGTCTGCGTTGGGTAGCTCACATGATGTGATTTTCAGGAGCTGTTGAAAGGTCGTAAGCAGATTTTCATTTTTGAATTCCGGTACACACTGTATCTCAATATTGCATTCTCTTGATTGCTGCTCAATTTGTGACAATTTAGCGTTTATGCTCGATACCTGGGATTGCAATGTCATATTATCCTTAAGCAACCTTGAAATCGTGGTCACATTATCACTATTGAGTTTGGATTGAGTGTCGTGATGATCCGATAAAAACTGTATAGATTCAATTGCTCCATCCAGGTCAGCCCGCATGGATGAAAACCTGGCTCCAAGATCCAGTACCTCCTTCTGTAGGCTTGACAAGATAGCATTCGACTTGTCAAGGTTGGCCTGCTGACTCTCGAACTGTTTGTTCATATCACATCTCAGACTTCTTATCTCCGCCAAAATAGCATGCTGAGTTGCGTCATAATTCACTTGAGGAGACTGCTCCGGGGTAGAAATATTTTTCTTGTTGTTCCTTGTTTGAATACCAGTGGTGTTAGGCTTTAGCATGCCGCCCATATGACCAGGGCGCACAGGTGAGCTATCGTCGTTATTGCGTCTCGTAACGTTGCTGCAGGAAGGGCACTTCAATTTGGCTAGTTGTTTTGGGTCGATATCAGAAACGCTGCCTTTATTAATACTCAGACACGCTAGGCAGAAAAATGAGGTGCAAGTGTTGCATTTTAAATGTTCGTTGTCGAGTAAACGACTATCACATCCAGCGCAATTCATGGTAGGTAATTTGTGCAAATCCAAACACACAAAAGTCTGCAAGAACGTCTTATTTGTGCGCTGAGTGAGTGCGATCGTCAACAAGCAAGCTTAAGCTCGCGGGAAAAAGGTCCTAAGCGCCGTGAGATCGACGTCGCTTACGCGTAGCAGCCAAACACTTCACTGTATAAAGTTAACGACGGTAACTTTCGGTATGATCGATATTGTTAATTGATTAAAAACCTTCAGGATATTGTTATTCACCTCTGTTAACACACATTTTGGACACAATATGCACTGGTTCACACTTTACAGTTAAAATCTTTAAGTAAACGTAAGATTTAACAGCTCAAAACTTAATTGTTTGTGTAAGCAAAATAATAAACGTTCCGTACCGCACGGTGGCAGGCGGCGAAAAAAATATTAGTAGGAAGTGGGAAGATAGAAGGCATTACATAAGTAGGTACTTATTTAACTATTTATATTGTTAATTATTGGTTTAAAATCCTACGATAAGCACTAATCGAGCTTGAAAACCCATAATCGATTTGGGAATTAAAATACCAAAAACCATGCACTTATACATTCTCTCTTAATGACTTGTCCAAATGCATTAAGCCATAGAGAAAGACCACCGGAATTTGAAATACAGGATGTCTGGATAATTCGTGATTGTTTGACAGTAACGTCGCTTTTAAGAGTGATTCTAACGAGTCTATATCGAAAACGAATATACTATGCTAGATGCTTCTATTAGGCAGAGTATTAAGATTCGGAACTGAAAATTTTTCTTTTCCTGAAATTCTTTATTATTAAATCAAATAAAAATCCATATAATTGCTTGATAAGCTTCTACTTACTCATATTGATTCTGTAATCTAGCGTTTAACACTGGTTTACGGTATTGAGTAGTAGTAAGTAGATTATTTACTATTAATGTGGAAATTGCGCGAAAATATTTGTAGTTACTTAACATGTCGATGTCCTGTAATACAAAAAACTTTACCCATCCTGCTACATTCACCTTAACTCAAGTGCGTTGAAGTAGAGTTCCGTTGTAATTAATTGATTAAATTATTATTGAGTTAAATATTTTATTCCATAACTTACAAAGAAGCGTAGTCATTACGAAATCGCGATAATAACATTAAAAAGATAATGTAGAGTTACCTTATTAGAGTAGAGGGAGTGTTAACGATGTTTATTTAATTTATTTTTTATTTTAACTACTTAAACTTACCTAACAATGCAGTTAAAATCTGTTTTCGGGCATTGCCTCTACTTTTTCGTGCCGAATCGTTCATTTTGAGCTCAAAAAGTAAATATTTATATTTCACAGAATTACTCCCGTATTACGAATACTTTATAAACACACTTTGAGGTTATATTTCACGTTGATTCTTACAACTCGATTTGAAATCCACAAATACACGTTCACATTATGTAATAACCGCTTTTACAAGTATTTTATGTCATGGTTCACAAGTTTTCCACTTTTCATTGATTATTGTTTTTACGAAACGCACCGTTCGAAACCACCGACTGAACTGACGAATGCGAGTTNCAGCTTGTCGATATGATCGTCAATCACTGGCAATGGATGTTCGTCTTTGACCATCTTTTGGTTTATCTTCCGGTAATCTACGCAGACTCTTATTTTCCCGTCTTTCTTCTTCACTATCACAAGAGGACTAGCATACTCCGAATAGCTTGGTCGAATAATACCTTTTGTTAGCCATTCATCAATCTGCTCTTTCACCAATGCTTCTTCGGTCAAAGCCAATCTTCGTGGTCTTTGTGAAACTGGGATGTCATCTTTCAACACTATCTTCAACTTGATTGGTGCTTCTTTCACTTTCAGTGGTTTGTAACTGTCGATAATCTCTTGGATAACTGGGATTTCACTCTGTTCTTCGCAGCTAGAAAACATACACATCTGATATGAACTGTCATAAAACTGTGGCCTAACCTCAACTTCGCCTCTGTCAACAATGACTATTGTGTTTACTAAAAATGGTTGACCTAAAATAACCTGATATGGAATTACCTCTGTGGGAATCACGTGAAAAGAAACATGATACTTGTGACCATCGATAACTAAACTAGCTGTAAACTTACCAAATGAGTGCACCTTACACGATCCCAATCCTATGAGAGACATTTTCTCTCCTTCGAAATCTGAAACATGACATTTTATGTTATTAAACAGTTTGACACTGATTAAATTTAAATCACTGCCCGTATCCACTAAACACTTTACCTCGTGACCGCATAATTTCGCATTTTTAATTGATTTATTGTGGAAAACATCGCAATTGTTTATGTTCATGACACTACGCCGATCTTGACACTGAATGAGTGAAGAACCGCTTGAGTAATCTGACGTTGACGTTGACATTGACGTTTCTCGGGTCATCATTCGGTCAGCGTCGTTCGTTGACATTGACGTTTCTCGATTCGTCATTCGGTCATCGGAAATACGACTTGCTTCATTCGCTGCGTCAGCGCCACCTAGCGTCGTCCGATCGAAGCCGTGAACGAACATCGATTTTCGTTCGGTCTTTGTTCCGCTTGTCGATGGATGACTCACCTCCGCGCTCGACGACCGTTTGCACTCTGCTCCAATATGGCCGTATGAATTGCAACGAAAGCATTTGACGCCTCTCGTGCAATTACTCGACAAATGTCCACACTCGCCGCACTTGTAGCATCGTGGCTGCACTTTTGATGTTACAGGATATATCACTTTCGCAGGTTTCGGTCTTGAATCGCGTCTTGTAGCATCTTGCTTTTTTGTCTTTTGCTTGAACGCCTCGTAAAGTGTAATTTTCTCTTTAAGTACTGGATACGTCGTCACGNACAAATAGTCTACATAATTTTTGCTACGGCTGGAAATTGGCAAATACAGGGTTGTCTCAGTAAAGTAACATAGATCTGCTGTTAAACAAACATTACAAAGTAAATGACAAATAACTTATGAGTATTTTTAAACTTATAATGAACAGAAATTTAAATTCTAGTAGGTAAGTAGGTTAAATTATTTTTAAAGAGCGTTTCTTCATTGCGCGCATTCTCATAATATTTCATAAAAATTCTTCCTACAGCATAATTATAAATTAAATAAAATATTATGTAATTCTGCTTACATCTTGATAATAATATGCTATAAAGTTTCATATTATACATACTCCAATTTCTGCTTGACCCAAAAGCATAACCTTCTATATTTTCTGTTTCCATACAGTAAAACATTTAACAGATTCAGACAAGTCAGACAGCAAGGCGTCAGTGTCCCATTCTCACTCTTATCACGTCCCCAGATTGGGACACCCCCTATTGAATATAACTGGGCAAGTTTACTCTTGTTTGTGTACTTGTACAGACGACGGCACAAATATAGCATCCTGTGTAGTCACTATAAGTGCGATTTTCCTTTTAAAATGTATGGTGGACTGTACTTGTTGTACCCCCTATTACTGAGTTAGACAAAACTACACGCTTCGTTGTTTTGCTGATATTATACTTATGAAGTTTAGCAACAGTCTAGTATGTTGAAAAACAATACTTATTATAATATGTATAGAGACCACAGTGTGAAGCTTGATCTGCCGTCCAAACATACGGGTATTGTTAAAGTTTCGCCCCCATTCTGCGTTGAACTTGTAGTTTAATGTAGAATCGATGCAGTATAGCCAGCTGTGTTTGGAAGTTCCTAAACGATATAAAACCTCCATACAAATATAAAAAAAGTTAAAGCTGTGTTATTTTAATACGAACAAGTTAGATGTTGGCCACGCGACACTGGCCACGAAGAAAACTACATTCTTTTTTCGACTACCAATATCGATTTTCTTTTGTTTTTCTTGAGCTCTTGTCTCTTGAATTTTCACGTCTTGATTGTTTTTTTTATTACAATAAAATTGTAAATATAATGATTTATTTCACAGTTTGTTTTATCCGTATATTTTAACAAGTAGGTATAATTAATTCTGCAACTACCACGAAGCACGTAGCACAAGATTTAGGCGCATCGAGGAATTAAAAAGCAGGTAATTTTAACAAATAATATTTCATCTACCATTTTCTACGCACTACATGATTGCATAAAGTTTTACACTCATGTATTCGAATAGAATGTTATTTACATTTTAATTAGAACGCTCGTACCTATTTGATTTATGAATTTTCATTTTGTAAATGAAAATTCAAAACTTTTCACAGGTAACTTTTACACACACGAGTAACTAGTTCAAAACTCCCAATAGAGCTCAAAACATATACAAACTCTATTAATTATCCAAACATTGTAAAAGCTGTAGCAATTTGGGAACAGGTTTAATTAAAAAAGTCAGACGTGCGTGCGAACCCGGCGCTAGGTAGAGTTCCAAACGTACATGGACATAGAAATTGGTAATTTATATTGTTTGTACACGCACTAGTGTACAAAGATAGAATGTAACACTAGTCGCTATGTACAGAACATCACAATTTTTTTTTGTTAAATTTCACGCAAATAAATATTTATTAGTTAATCTTTAATGAAATGCCATGCCATGGGTTTGACGGTTGCTTTCATTTTTGTGTCACGCTATGGGTAACTATTATTCTGATAAAAATGCAAAAGATTTTATGAGCTTAACGTTATGTTTAATTATTGTTTGCCAGAACTGAAAAGGTACAACAAATAACAACAAATAGAAAACTAATAACCGCTCCCATGCATTATTAACTTACCAATACTCCAAAGAACTTAATAATTACCCTAATTACCTAACTTGCCACATTTTTCTTTTAGATTTTGTCACGAAGTACAGTACAGTACAGTACAGAACGAAGTTTGGTACAGTCGACATTACACCAAACTTTTTTTTTTTGTTGACAAAATTGCACAAATTCAAACTATTTACGTGTACTTACCTTGACGTGACTTCGTCTATACTTGTTATAGGTACTTTATACTCTCAATATTTTATTTAAAAATATTCGCAGCCTCAACCACGTGGCGTCGTATTTCACTCCCTCAAGTATTTGAATTTCAAAACGAAATACCCTTCCTTGGCTCTACCTTTTTTACATAAGAAACTTCTGGACCAGAAATTTAGGTCGAGGATTAGGATTTTTACTATTATTCATGTAAAAAGCGGTAGCGGATCCTGATTGATGGGTTTTCTATTCTGGCTCGGACTGTACTTAACAGTCAGCTAGAATTTATGAACTGCCATAGACGTCTGTGGTCTAAATATTAGGTACCTACCTAAAAATTGCCCCTTTGGTAATATTTTTATTGCAAAATTATTACAGCTCATGTCACTTCTGATGGTCTTCTGAAACTGTTTCCTATCTTAGAAGCTTTTGTTAAATTAAAATTGTTATAAAATCCCGCCATAATCGTTGAGACAAAAAGTATTACAGTATTGTTTTAAGACCAGTTAAGTATCCACCAGTATAAGGGGTCAACTTGACAAACAGTATTCAGTAACAGTTAGATATTCTTCTTATTACTGGAATTTAAGGTACATTTTCCAAGCACCTGTCCTTCTGACAGTATCGTACCATCGCTAGCCATAACTCTCGAAAACCTTTGGATCCATTGCATAAATTCCCGCGTCCATGGCTTTGATATAATGGCGTCACGTCCCGAACCAAGTATCTTCAATATTCCTAGCATTTAGTAGCATTTTTCAATTCCCTGGCCTTCTAACAGTATCCTACCATCACCATAACTCCCGAAAGCATTTGGATCCATTGCATAAATTCCCGCATCCACAGGCTAATGGTTCGCCCTGATGGCGTCGCGTCCCGGACCGAGGCGTCCATATTTCACGGCAAGAACTAAATAAAAAACGTTCATAACACCCGATCCATTATTCACGGAAGCTGCGCAGGTGTAAATCAAGCGGAGCGAGCGCCGTTATGATAAGTAATCTGGCGTATTTGTGAGCTGAATGTATGTTGGGTAGGAGAACAAGACGTTTTGTGAGCGGGAAATAGGCTGAGGTTGCATTTACTATAGCGTAAAAATGACGTAATACGTTTGCCGTAACAATTCGTCCTTTTAAACACGACTTGGTTCCAAACAAGCTGTAATCAAACACCCTTAGACTAGGCGCAGACCACCGATTCTTAGTTGGCCGATAATTTCGGCCCGATTTTAATTTGTATGAAGAATCGGCCAAATCAAATCGGTGTAATATGCGCACTTCCATACATGCCCATACTGATCAACTGCCCGACTAAACTATCGGCCGACGAAATATCGATGGTCTGCGCCTAGGCTTACTTTGGGCGGGTGGTCACCTTACGCCACTGCACTGATGTGTTCTGTTTGACCAATAAACGACACGTTGCAAACATTTCCTATGACAGTTGGTAGATCTAAATTGCATAACTTACTTTTTATTTTTCAACAAAATCACATAGGCCATAAAAGTCGCAATGACGCCACAACGTTTACTCTCGAATTGTAATTTGTCACTGGACAAAGCGGGGCCCATTGGTAATAGATTACACATATTGGAAATTCAGCTTTTTGACGCTAACATTTGAACGGGTCTTTATATTTCCCATCGTCTTTTATCTCAGCTATACATGAGTTAGCATACCAAAGCAACGCGTGTAACGGCTTACAGATTTCGTACCAATCTCGTACAATGGGAAAACTTTCAGGCATTTATACCCTTATGTCTGTTGAAATAAAGCTTCGTGTGGAGCGTTGATTACTGTATGGCTGAATAAACGGGCTGGGAGATGGATCCGAAACTCAAATATATTAGTCCGAATGAATATGCACAATAACATTCCGTAGAAAGTAAATGTTTTCAGAACTGTTTACGAAAAGCCCCATTATTATTTTTCTGCATTCATTCAATATGTACTTTTTATTGAGCAGATAGAAAGTTAATTCACGATTTAGCTGTAAAGAGCAATTAACATGTTTGATTATAAAATTAAGTAAAACCAAACACCCCGATTAGGTATCAAGCACTAAGGTTAGCTTAAAATTACTTAGCTTTATGTCATTTCAAGCCTCTTAAGAAAACTGCAAAGCTTTTCTAATGATATAATTTCAATATTTTCCCATATTTTGCAAGAAATTGTATTTTTATGGTTTATGTGAGTACGACGCTATATCATTTTTAATTAGTGATAAAAACAGCCTAGTTTTTGTCCAAGAAATAGTATTCTCTTGGCGATTTACCAAAACTAGAGAATAGCAAAAATGTGACAACATGATATAATTTTATGTGCTTTTTCTTTTTTTGTCTGCAGTTTTGTTTATTAGTCTCATTGGAGTATATTCGTGGAAGCAACAAAAATTCTCTTAAGCTGTCAAAACACAATAAAATAATCTTTTTTTTACACATTATTATTCGATACAACAAATATCACAATCCCAATTTTCTTTCCTTACCCAAAACGTACCTAAGCATCCACAGATGAACAAATGCTCTCCGTATATACAGACAAAAAGATTGATCGTCCATTAGTAGCTCAGCCGGGACGGGACATTAGTCAGCGCAATAATGAGCAGACTAACTGGGACATACATCCGAAACTAGTCAATAATGCTGAATCGGATTCATTATAACGTAAAAGAAATGCGTAACGATGTCCTCTTCTTCTTTTCAATAAGAATAAGGCTGAGTTCCGCAACTTTATTTTAACCGTAACTATAACGATAACCGGAGGCAACCCAGCTTTACTAACAGTACACTACAAAGGTTAGGCATACGTTGCATTTTGTAAATCAAGCGATAAATTACCTACCTACCATCCCTTAACAGTACAAATACTTAGCTAACGGGCACGGTCTTTATATGAAAATCAATGGCCTTTTAAGTACTTTGTTTACCTAAAATAATTCTAAGAGTAGGCGCACACCGTTGATTTTTAGTTGGCCGATAGTTGTGCCCGATTTTAAATTGTATGAAGAATCGTCCAAATCGAATCGGCGTAGTGTGCGCACTCCCATACATGCCCATACTGATCAACTGCCCGACTAAACTATCGGCCGACGAAAAATCAACGGTGTGCGCCTACTCTTAATTACGCCACTGCTAGCATACTTGTTAATACATACTTATAGACCATCTAGGCACTGTGCTGTCGAATCTTCCGTATTTTTTGTAAGTTTACATGGTAGGTAAATACAATAAAATTAACAATTTCTGTAATGAAAACAGTTACATTAATCCAAAATTCGTACACGCAGTAAAATTTTCTTGACTACACTTACTTTTCACTTGGTTTGAAAATGCAGTTTCCATAGCAATGTAGTCGGAAAGTATGGTGCGAGCCACATAAATCAATGTTAGCAACGCCGGCACTATTTCTAGGCCAGTGGTCTTCAAACTGCGTGACGCCACCCCCTGGGTTGCTGTTGCATTGTATCTTCATAAAGCATGCGTGAATTTGGAACGAGAAACAAAATTATTGCGCGTTGTTCCAAACGAACCACAGAGCATGGAATCGCCGGCCATGCTCTGTGAAACGAACCAAGCATTTACCAACGTAGGCATGACAAAAAAATGTGTAATTTTGTAGGTCTTTCAGCATTAATCCTAATTTAATTTAATTTTGATGGCCGTTTGCCATAAATACATAATACATATTTCTGCCTCTTGACCGAGTTAAGGGTCTCACTAATCCCCCGAATGGTTCAATATGATTTTTGAGGGGGACTACTGATACCGCAACTTTAGTTCAAATTACCAGCAAGTTTGGAAACCACTGACATAGGGAAACCCCTAACTAACCCGGAACACGCAAACCGATATTTTACAAGCCGTTCCTTTCCTTCGTTCTCTTATGCGCTCCAAACTACACTTCATTATGTTACATTACTTGTAATAGGTCAAAGAATAACTGCTTATATGCGTGGGCGGCTAATGTGGGGCGCGGTGAAATAACTAGCTTTTAAACTAAGTATTACCATAGAAAAAATTGTATTTACTCTGATATTACGTAGGTAGGTCCCTATTTAACATGACTGAAACAAATAAACAAAGAAAAACGATACTTAAGCACTTAGTTCTTAGGAATAAAAACCAAAAAAAAATACCGAACAGTTTTAAGGAAAGCGTTGATGTAACCGCTAAATGTATCGGTCGATATAGCGTAGGTAAGTGACCATACTTATTTCAAATAAAGTTTTTAAATTATCTACCTAATTGGGTTCGTCATTTTGTATCCGTTATACTATTCCAAATCCAGAACCATATCCAATGTAATTTGCTATTGAACTCACACATACCTATCACATGAAAATTAAAGCTTAGAGGTTTTAAAAATCAAGCCAACAAAGATAATTAAAAGTAAACGTTCCTAGAAACATTTCAATAATAGTTTTGTATTCTAGGAATTTGCTAGTTTAATGCGCTACATTGTAACCAATAGTGTTCCATTATGCAGATTTTAATTTGTGAAAATCTGTGTTAAAATCCAACTGCAGTATCAGCGACATTAAATAAATTGGTGAAGGCAGAGGACGCCGCTAAACCAACATCTGGATACTGTTTGTTTTGTTCAGAAACGCGAAAATTTCCCGTTCCTTGGAGAGATTTGTTACTGGCTGTACATTGTTACTTTATTAAGTATCTAGCTTGAGAAACTGTACCTATCCAACGTTTTGAACAACATCGTTGTGACTGTGTTAGGATTGATTAACAAATTATAATTTAAATAAATTAACTATGCATTGTTAATATTGATTTTGGCTTTTTAGAACCACAGATTTTACTAATGTGCCATATGAATTTTTTACTTTATTTATTTTATTTTATTTACAATCACTTACAATCTCGTAGCCCCTCCAGTTGAGCTAAGTATCCCAAACCTCCAGCCCTTCATTAATGCTTGCGTAAGCATTCACCTAAATAGTCCAGCGGCATCAGTTGACGGGAGTCGAACTACTTGTCTTGTGTACTATGAGAAATTATACTTACATCAAAATACCTTTTGTTTCAGGATCAGAAGCAGAACCAGTATGGAAGCTCCAAGACCCTGGCTTCGACCAGGGTTACGGGTCGGAACGGTCTCCAGAAGATGACTACGTGCCACCGATAGCTCCAGCGATCTCATTGGAAGCCTACGAGGCCGAACTTCGGACTGTCTACCCTTTTATAAATGATGGTAAGTCTTAAGATAAGTAAGGACGACTCACAATATACATAGAAATCACCAATACGTCTATGAAATGAACACGTCTTCAAACACCTGGAAAGGTCGTGATATGAGCACTGCATGAGTCGCCACACCCCATTTAAACAGTCTTTGTCAAAAAAGATCTCCAAGGTAATTTATTTTTACATACATTAAAACAAAAGTGCTAAGTGCCCTTCCGCTTTTTTGATTGGGCCAAATAATAATTTCACTCTCAATGCTGCTGACAGTTGCACATCTTCTAATGAGTCAAGACTCAGTGAGTCAAGACTCAGTGAGTGAGTCAAGACTCAGTGAGTGATTCAAGAATCAGTCAGTGGTAGGGATAAGACGTATAGAGACGCTTCTTAAAAGCCTGATTTCAAAAAGTTATTAGCTTAAATAACGCTACATCAGAATGGCGATAGTGAAAAATTCAATCACTAAACAAATATGTGTCAAACTCTCCTAACGGATCGCTTCACTTTAACCCTCAACTCCTCTAATCCAATAAGGATAATAAATCGAATTTATCCCGTTGATCAATACGAAAGGCTGACAGCAGTTATCAATTATTCTCCCGATCGATACTAACAAGATCATAATACACAACAACACCTACTAATTTACTTCACTCTCAAGGGTATTAGATAATATATTTAGCTTTTAGCCCCCGTACCAAGAAATAGATGGTACCAAAGCCTTGTCGTTAACTTCTTTATAAACAACAAATAATATTGGAATGGAGATAGTATTGGTACTAGGTCAGTTTGATCAATAAAGAACTAGTCGCCTAGAAAAGTTTGTTTTACCACGCAAACAGCAAGGTCGATACTGATGCAAGATAACAATGTTTTACCTATAACGTCGTCCGTGGACCGTACCATCCTAAACTGCATCTTACTTAACATCAGGTGCAATTGTGGTCAAATACCTGCCTTGTNTACAAGACGACAGAGAAGCAAGAAATTCTCGTTTACCACCCTACTTACCACATTTTTGATGTTCATGACCTTCATATCAAGTTCACATGGCTTGGTGAACATAACCAAGTTCAAGGATACTCAAGGACTATACTTCGACAAGTTATCCAACATGCAGTTGATTAAAGACGAATGGAAACTCGTGACATACTTTGATATGGAACCATATTGGCAAGGAACACAAGCCTTAGAAAAGTACTTACAAACATTAGAAAAATCATGCGGAGTGATAACAAGGGAACAAGTTCAATGTAGTGCAATAACCCTACAACTGCGTCATCAGTTTACGGAACTCGAGTACTATAATCACCTGTTAGTAAATCAGCAAATTCGAGCTCGTGCTAAGCACGCGAGGCGCACGCGACGCGGCTTTATCAATGCAATTGGAAACCTAGCCGGCGACCTGTTTGGCGTATTAGATGACCGCTTCGCAAAACAATATGAACAAGATATCAAGTTACTGCGTGAGAACCAGAAACATTTATTGAATTTATGGAAAAATCAGACTTCCATAGTAGAAGCAGAAAACAATCTTTTAAAGAGGACTGAAGATTTGATGAATCAGCAACACAAGACTGCAAATCAACATATTATAACATTAGAAAAAGCCATGGATGATCTGANCAGCAAGATCGATACTGATGCAAGATAACAATGTTTTACCTATAACGTCGTCCGTGGACCGTACCATACTAAACTGCATCTTACTTAACATCAGGTGCAATTGTGGTCAAATACCTACCTGCCTTGTTATCCATAAAAAAAACTTTTCGAAACTACATAAGTACAGTCTTCTTAGACATTTATTAACGTATTTGCGTGTACTACTGAATTTATTCGGTTTAATCCTTCAGCGGATTCGTTAATTACTATAATTAAAGTCATAAAAATTCACATAGAAATGGCTCGACGTCTTGCAATCAACGGTGCATTAAAACTAAAAGTGGCATACATAAAATGCACTGCACATTCGCCTTACTTCGCAGTTCTCATTACTCTAAGTACTGGAATTCATACGTGTACTTGGTATGGAATTAATATAAGTTGGTACGGCCGTCCCATGGTGGGTCGTGTGTTTACCTGTGGTGTGCAGTAGTGAGACCATACATTAAATTGTATTACGGACAATATTATTCTCACTCGTTTCAGATGAAGTACATTTTTGTATTGATGATGAGGTGATTATTTAAGTTCTGTTTAGCTTTGTATTCCTACTATATTTTAGATTGAAGTTTAAACTTCACTTTTCCTGTCACTGAAAACAATATGTTTCTATTGGCTTCCTTTTACAGGATATAAGTAAAGTCATTGATTCTACAGCCTTTTGAATTAATCAATTTTTGTATGACCGTTGTCACGTTTTAATCCAGTCGAATGTCAAGTTGTAACACTACTAGATATTCCGAAGCATAGTAAATTTTTTTAAATGCACATTATTTCAAAGTTCATTTAGAAATCTTCACGTTCCATATTTTTGTTGAACTCCTTATAATCCCGAATGCTTTGTGATGCCTGGTCACCAGACACACAACACACTGTCGCTGTGTTTGAACTACTTTATACTCGCAAGAAGCTTACACCAGCTCTATAATGTAGCTGCTTTATAGTAACGCACCTGGGACCTGGTTTACAGCTGTAGCGAGCATACCTGAACAAATATGAAAATATTACTTTACTTGCAATTTGCAAGCTTATGGGTCAGACTTTAAGAATAAAATTGGCTTTGTTTATTCAATAACAACTGTATAATTTATGATAAACAGGCTTCATTTTTGAAACCATTTCAAATCGGTTTTCAAAACGAATATTTACTTACTTACCGCCATCTCTTTTTCTTATAACGGTACTAGCTCTATGTATGTTCTCAGAAAAAGACCCTTACTTCCATAGGATTTAGGTATTATGTCTGTCGCACATTAAATGTATGTCTCCATAAAATATAATCTGTAGCCTAAAAGCGGCCGCCCATAAAATATTCAATGGACGTAAATGCTTCACTTAGTTTACAATAGAAAAGTTTAGTGTCAATATTTTCGTTGAGGCCATAAATCTTTATTTTCCAATCTAAGTTTATTTAGCCCGCTTCACACTTTCACGTTGGAAACAATTTGGTATACGAAAATTTTTAAAGGATCTAGAGAGAATTTTGAATTGAAGTTTTTATGATTCTTTTAAAGCAGATTTAAACTTACTGAGATGAAATTTCACAAGTTTTTTATATGATTACCTCCTTAGAATTTCGAGGTAAATAGGTAAAGTTGACAACATATCAGACTTATCAATTTTATTCCAAAATAGCACATATTCCAACCACAGAAGATGCTTCAGTCTGTACAACCAAACCTATAAATACCATGTAAAGACCAAAATTACGTCACGAAAATTCGGATGAGCTCAAAGCCCGATTCTCATTGAGACATCCCAATCAAAAGAAGCTACCGAAAGGGACTGATTCAATGAAATGCCACCCATATCGGCCTGATTTGAAATCCGGTCCTATATCAGCCACTTGAGCCCGATGTCCGAGTAAGTAATTGACGCCCTGCAGAGCGGGCCGGGTCACAACACCCTTATCAAAACTTTTGTCTGTTAGAAACTTTGGTAGCTGGGAGATACGTCAGAAGGCGCATATATCACGGCTCTACCTACATAAGTTAAGGGCACTTTTGTGGCAGCTCTGTTTTATGCCTAAATTGAAGTCACAAACAGAAATGGTAATGCCCAACTTATGGTAATCTTTTGTTCTTTCCTATTTATAGCCCTTAGGCCTCCGCTAAAATTTGCGCGGTCATAAAAAAATTCGATACTGAATCGACACCCCCGCGCTGATTTAGCGAAGACACTTTTAGTCACTAAGTATGTAGACAATTCTTTTTAAGGGAAGGTACTTAGGGGGAAAGTAGGTAAAGCTTTGTAAGTAAGTAAATTTGTTCGCCCTGGTCATTACCCACATTGCCTTCATAGAAAATTGTGTATAATTGCCTCTTACACACAGAAAATGAACATCATTTTAGAATCACCAGATCCTTTGTTCCTGTTAACACGTAATAAGCAGGCACACTAATGATAACCCTTTGTACAGCGACAGTGTATATCTATACTAAACAATTTTGTTGCAAATTCTTACTTATCACCACCACAAAAGGTTTTAAATTTCCCTTGTTGTGCCAAAATAATGAAAAGCTTCACAACAAACGACAACGCCAATGAGCAGATTATGAAAATGGCGTCCGAAATAACAGATGGTTGTATTGAACAGGAACACGTTGATTAATGCATACCCCGAGTGTCAATAATAAATCATGTAGCAACACACGACACTGTCTCATTAGAGGTAACCACATTTGACAAATTAATTCTGTTGGAGACTTTGTCACCGACATTGTTTAGGCAGCGTTAGAATATTCTAACTCGTGTTTACATCTGAGCAGTTTGTCTACGTAATGGTATAGTGACTCAGTGGAACACAATTGATGAAGAAGAACNCGAAGAATATTCAATGAGGGTTATCGTTTTAGCGCTCACCAGTTAGCGCCACTATAGAGTAAGGTCCTGTCACTTGCTAGTAGCGAAGATAGTGGCACCAACTGATGAGCGCTAAAGTGGTAGGAGGACTATCGCATTTGCACTCATCAAGATGGCGCCACTGTAGAGTAAGGTCCTGTCAATCGCCAGGGGTGCCAACTGTTAAGTATAAAAACGATAGCCCTCATTGAGAAACCTTTGTTAATGGTGCTTTTACTAAATATTTGAATACTCTGTTTTTATATGTTTTAGGCTTGCCTTAATTGCATTATGAAACAACACTCAAGTATGAATCTACAAACAAGAATAGACTCAATTGGAGTGATTAGTTTAACCAAGAAGTCCGAATAAGTTTTTAAGAACGCCTAAGAACGTAATGTTATTATACGAGTAGAGATCATTGAGTAAAATATTGCACGTATCTAAACTGCCCACCGCTTTAATCCTATTGGAAAGAATTACAATGCTATTAATTACATTAAT